TAAAGCTAATAGTGCTTTCCTCTTCTTAATGAGCTGCTTCCATTTATTAGGTATACATTCATGCCACCTCCTTTACTAAACATGGGACACGGTGCTTTATATCTGCTGTGGAGCTCTACACCTTATGGTACACATTGTCTTCTATTTAACTGACTATAAAAGTGCATTCATAGAATGTGCTACTCAAGAATAATGCATGTATGTATTTATATAGTTTGTCGTAGCACTGTTCATTCCCTACAATCATATAATTTTGTGGTGTCGGGGATTCATAGGAAATCTATTTTTTCCAATGCCGTATGTCTTTAATGCATATGGAAAAGGCATTTGACCGTAGTTATATGGCTTCTGCGATGTCATAACCCCCCTTTGTTGACCATAACTGTCAAGTGGATTAAATGTTCTTACTCGTGTTATTTAATTTGATTATTTGTCAAGTTTATAACAGTTTCTAGGCCAAGTCCCTCCCTTCTATTCGTCATGTCTAGAGTTCGGGGACTTTGTCGCCTGGCTTTCTGTCGGTAGCTCTCCTCCAGTCTAGTTAGCGATTGGCTCTACAATTGGGTGACACTGAATTGGCCCTTCCTTCACCGATTTATGTAAATGTATACAACAAATGACATCTAAAGCCGATTAATAGTATTTGCCCAAACAGATCATTTGTCACAGAATATAGCAATTAAAGATGATTTTCTTTTGTCTCGTGGATTTGGAGGGGAGGAGCTGAATTAAAGATGACCTTCCTTTTTAGGCATTCATCTCCTATTCACTAAGCAGTTTAAAAGTGTATAATTATTTTTCTTTTTTTGAAACGCGAATACAAGCAGAAGGGAAAGATGTTTAGCCAAAGTATTCTTGGGCTTTGCGACTAACAATATATCAGCACATGTTACAGCTAGATAGTTTTGCTTGTCTATCGGGATCACGATTGATAAAACCCTGCCTCATCTGAGCGTTTTAATTTGATAGTTTTATTGAGTGTTCCGTGTTGTAGATCACATCAGAAGCTAAAATCAGAAGGCTTAAATTAGACTTGTCCGGTAGGCTTCCATCCTCCTTGTTATTGCTGCAATATACCGTATGTACAAAATGCTATCCAAGAAGCAGGAACGTTATGAGGATCGATGGGGAGTGCACATAAGTGTGAAGAATTGTGGTGTTACACGCCAAGGAACTACAAGTGCCAGCATGTCCTGCTAGTGTGTGCTTTATACCGTCAGCGCCTTAGATCCACCATGATGCCAACAAATAACAGTGTATAAAACTGTAGGGACGATTGCCAGTCGCAGCTATTCGTTTTTTTAGAGCAGGCTAGAAATGTATGGCATTTGTATGCAGATACATGGACGTTTTATTTTTGTAAATGAGGCCCACGGTGACAAGCTTTCGTGCATAACGTGTATTTAGCACCACACTTTGAAAATTATAATAACATATTAACTACAGGAAACACTAGAAGAACTCTCCTTATTGCTTCTGTCAAGTATGATGTATGGCTCACATTTACACCTGGATAAGGCCGCCTTACCAGTGAGCACTCCAGCCAGCAAACACTTGAAGGGAACATGGGTAATATATAATCTGATTGCAATGACTGCAATATTACGTTGCATCAATTACACCAATTCCTCTTTATTGTTATTAGCAATTGGTTCGTAGAAACTGAAAGAGAGGTTGTGGCACCGGCTCCGGTTTTCTTTACCGACATTGTTATTATTCTCTTTGTACATAAGCAAAACTCATATATTTTGCATTTAATAAACATACATCATACATTACATGTGTAGTACACTCTATATA